TATATATATATATATATATATATATATGAAATTCTCTTGAAAAAACTTGTGCAAATAATGAAAATTTTCGGACATTTTATTCTCACCCTTCTAAATTTAATATTCATTCCTAATTAATCAGTCATTTCAAAATAACCTGCACGATTTCTAACCTGTTTTTTTTAAGGAATCAAATGAAGTTAAGGGGAATGTTTCTATTCTAAATAAAGCTTAATAGTTTGTAAAAAAAAAAATACACTTTCAACTAATTAAAAATTAATATTAGTATATTTTTAAGTAATTATTATAAAAATTAAGAAAATACATTATATAGAGAAATGAAACGAATTTGTTGGACCTAACTTGTATGTGTATTTATATGTATATATTGAACTATGGTAAGGTTGGTGGATCACAACATCTATGACATCCTCCACGTGTTCTTCCTTTCCTTTCATGTTATGGGAAGAATTTCAATGACAGCTTCCACATTTTTCTAACCACTATGGGGTACAATATCATTTAACCAAACTAATATTCCTACTTCGATTTTGCATTGAAAATGTACTATTTTAGAAGTGTCACCAAAATTGGGACCATAATGACATTGTTGCGAAACTATGATCAGAATTTTCTGGTCCACACTGACGTTAATGGTTTATTAAGTGGTGCAAAAGCAGTTTCTTTCTAAATATGTCACCTTCTTGGGTTGTTTTCCATGTCAGGGTTCCATTATATAAGAAGCTTCTTTTGCAGTGTGAAGTGTGAACTTGAATCTCCCAACTCAACATATTATTAATTGTCACCTTTCCCAAAGTCATTTTCACATAGCCTTTGCCTCCTTAATCGGATAGTTGGTTGCTCACTTTAGTGGTGTTCAAATCAGTGGAAACTTGGACAGTAGACCAAAACATAAAGCGGAGTAACTGCATGTCTTTTGCACTATGTTTGGTTAATGAAAAAAAATAATAAAGGAAAAAGAAAAGGAGAAAAAAGAAAGTGAGAAAGAAGAAAAAATGAGACGATTATTTAGTTATTTGATAGGAAAGAAAAGGTGAGAAGAAAGAAAGGAGTATATATAAAAAAGACATAAATATTCCTAAGTAAAAATTCATATAAAATAAAAATATAAAAATAAGTATTAATGATTAAAATCAATAAAAACTCAAAATACATTTTAAGATAAATTTTAAAATATTAATATATTTTAAAATTATTTATTTCATTCTTTAAAATAAAATAATAATTTTGCTTTTTTATTGTAAACATAAAGAGTAAAATTTTAATTTTATTACATTGATCTCTTTGTTTTTATTTGGTTTAAATATATTTTTAATCCTTATATAATGAACAATTTTAAATTTTAGTCTTTGTAAATTTTTTATTTTGTTTTTTATTATTTTAAATTTAAATTATTATTTTTAGTCTCAATTATTATGTAATCATTTTTAACTACATATTTATTTATTAAAATATTATGTGACGTCTATCTCAAGTGTTACTTATAACTGTTAATGACATTATGTTAATATGTGACATCTCCACAAAATTTTAAAGACTATTAAAATAAATATTATTTATATACTTTAAAGTCATTCTTAAAAATAAAAATTAGTGATTTTCATATTTAAAAAGAATAAAAATTAAAAAATATATATATATTTTACGGAGACTAAAACAAAAATTTACGCATTTTACACAATTTTAGATGGATGAAAAATAAAAAAAATAAATTTTAAGAATTAAAATCAAAATTCATTCATTTTACAAGAACTAAAAACATATTAAACCTTTTTTTTTTCTTTCAAAAATGAAAAGTGAGAATTTTATTATGAATTTCATATTCATTTTTCTTTCCTTTCTGATTTTTTTATACCAAGAAAAAAGTTTCAATAAACATGTTTTTTTTCTTCTTCCTTTTTTTTCAATATTTTATTCAAACCAAACAATAACTTCTTTTTGGTAATGTGAATCAAACGAGAGAAAAAAACCATGAAAATAAAACTAATGCATCAAGAAAGACACATGACATCTATCAACATGAAGAGCATCCACCAAAGTCAACAAGGGTTCTTCAAAGGGGTCCTTTCTTAGTGAGAATATTAACACATTGATTTTCTTCTCTTAAGGTGTGCACAAATTCCACTTTCTAGTCTTCTTTCGCAAAATCTTCAATGGATTCGATAAGGGTAGAATACACATGAGATAAAACAGTAAGTTGTCTAATAAGTCAAAGCGCATGCAGAGAATCCGAAACACACACCACTTTTTTGTACTGCAACTCCTAGTCGAAGTTTAGCCCCTAGAAGATG